AACTTCACCACCACAGACTGACAATCACACAAACTATAGTAAGATGAAGCTTCAGTAAATTAAAAAGATGCCTATCATGCTTTTTTAAAAACTTAAAGCAAAGGTTATGGCTCCTGAATCAGAACTCCATACAAGTTTTTTAAATCTTGCATTAAATGTCAGATTCTTTCAGTATTAACCCACAAGTGCTGCAAATGTTTACTTTTATGAGAGCCACTTGTTTTTAAAACAGTGAAAAAAAGAAAGCCAAGATTCACAATTACGTAGAAAAGACAAATAGATCTTTTTCTCCCATCATATGCTTACAACTTCCGAACTACCACTACACAAAGTGTAAGATCCTGAAAATTGCCCAGAAATAATGCTATCTCACAACCCTTATAATGATCTGGCCAGATGAATGCCAACTCCATACAATACACAACAATGGTCACTCTTCATGAAGCCAGACCAACATTAAACAGGTGCTTTGGTTGCTTTTTCTGCTAGCATTAATGCAAATAACTATGAAATATTAACATTCCCTGTTCCTTAAACAGAACACAAATTGCAACCAGGTCTGACGTTGTGTTTCAATAACTTGCACTCTCCACTGAAAAGACAGCAAAGGTCACTATGGCATAGCTTACCCAATCATACAAACACAGCAATATACCAAAAAAAGTTGATATTTTTAGAAAGTATTTCTCAACGTGATTTCTGCTTCATTACTAAAGCAGATCAACTTTGTCAATCACTGTTTGAGAGAGCTTGCAGTGCACAAATTACGCCATGTTTCCTAGATTAAATCAAATTTTACTCTTCAAAAGTATTCATAGCAACATCTCAGAATGCTTGAAAGAGCCCTGTTTCTCTAACTTCATAAGAAAATAGTTAATTTGAAAACTGGGTAAAGCATACTGGAATAGTGTTTAAAAACACTTGCCATATCCAAAACTGAAATTGCTCAAGACAGTTATGTGGGTCAGCTTTTTGAAATAGTACTACCAACCAAGTGAAGATGAAGTCCGTACAGAAATATTGTCAACCAACACCCCAACTTGCCTTTTATAAGAAACAGGCAAGACACAATGGAAAAATTGATCAGTCATGATCTCAGTTTACATTCAGAAGATGAGTACATCAAATAAATTTAAACGGAATGCTGGTGAAATCAACAAATAACACGAGTGCTAGCCAAAAACATAAGAGGATCAGAGTTTAAGTATTACAAATTTGCAAGAAAGGATTCAGCTTTGTCATTGAATAAAAAGGTTGTGTGGAACTCAAGAATCATGGCACCATTTCCCATCTCAGCATCTATTCTGGAGTGCTGTAAACTTTTTCCATGGCATTTTGTTGTCAAAAAGAATACTATTTGACTTCACAAATTATTTTTCCAAATAAATTCCAGGCCACATATTTTAAAAAGTCATTTGACCATGGAACACAAAAGGTAAGTGTTGCGCATGTTTATGACTGGAAAATTCACAATAGAACTTGTTTAGTTGCAAATGACCAGAGGATAAGTCAAATAGGATTGGATGAATTTAAAGTACAATGCTACTAAAGATTACACAAGTAATTTAGCTTTGCTGTCAGAGAACATTGACAAACTATGCAAACAGCTACAAAATTTGTTGCATTCCAAAAGGCTGCAAAACAAAATATAAATAGCATTAATTCATGCCCTTCTCTCCTCTGCTTGGGAGAATGTTAGATATATAGCCTTTAAAAGGGAGAAAATAAACTTTCACAAAGTAGAGAGAAAAGTGAAATGGGAATGATCATGTCTGCCCTCTGTTGCACAATTTCACAAATGGACGAAATCAATGGTCACTTTCACTTCTGAACATGAGCAATCTCCATCTGAACAACTGAGTACTAGAAAATTAGAAGCAGATCAAGTAACATTCCTACCTGCGCATGGAAAAGTGATAAACTCCTCACAGTATGCAAAGGAAGCAGAACCTTAATCAGAAATTGTTTGTGTTCAGCCTTCAGGGGCAATGCAAACCCGTTTATTATACTGTCAACAAAATAACAAGGAATGGTTATCCACCTACAGCCTTATAAACGTATACAATGCTCTACAATTTCTCTGGGAACTCTATATAAAAGATTTTTATCAAAATAAATAGAAACAATTGAAAGAGTAATTATGTTCTACATGGAGCTCAATGCTCACATTTTTAAACACTTCAGGCATTTGTTCACCAAACTGAAGATGCCTATATGCTGGCCTTGTCTGACAAATTCAATAAGACAACCTCCCTTTTCACATCTAAGTTATAGCGAAATTATAGATAGGCGTTGCAGTACATGCAACTCTGTGCCAAGGAAGTGTAGCAGAATGTAAGCACTGGATTAGAGAACCACAATGGTATCAATTCATCAACATTTTCAAGGACATTTTAGTAAGCAAATATGTAAAGTAGATCCTAACTATCAATATTTTTAGAATGATATATTGTGGACAGCTCTTCAATCCATACAGCTCATTCTCTTCCCCTGCTTCTATTTCCTTCCTAATCCCACCCTATAAAGTTTTCGAACAAAGAGAAAAGAAACAAAGGCCAGTGTATAACATAAAAAAAAACTGAATCAATGGGCTGAGAGAGACATGTTATGGAAGTAATTTATTAAATAATGCAATGTCTATTTTTGGCATACTTGCTGGAGTACAGTTAGCTATGAAGATGCCTTTGTGCAACATCACCTAATGTTTTCAGGCCACTGCCCTATAAGCCACGCAAAGAAGTGTTTTTATACAGCCAGCTGCAGCTGCTTTAAATGCCTGAAGCTATTTAGATTTTGTAAATATCTGGTTGCAGTTCGGAACTCAGAATTGAACTATCTGCAACCAGTTTCTTTTATTTTACATCTGTGACAAAGTGGAACATCAGAAATGAGGGATACATTGGGCGTAACCCCATGTGCAAATTTTTGAGAAAGAACTTCCTCCGTACAGTTGGGCAAGGAAAGGTAAAAAGCAGTAGTCAGCTCTTCTGAGGCAGAGTTTCACAGAAATATAAAAAGTAGCAGTAGGCCATTTGGCCCTTTGTGCTAATTATCCAACTCAGTACACTGTTCCCACTTTCTCCCCATACTATTTTATCCCTTTAGCCCCAAGAACTACACACAACTCCTCCTTGAGAACAATGTTTCATTGTCAATCACTTTCTACCATAAAATTTCAGTGTCACCACTGTCTGGGTGAAGAAATTTCTCAACTCAGCCTTAAACGACTCTCCTGTATCCTTAGAATTTGATCCCTGGTCTGGACTTCATGGTTATTGGAAACATCCTTCCTGCATTTAACCCATCTAATTCAGTTAGAATGTAGGCTACCTAAGGATGTTGACAGTGAGGGATTTAGTGATGGCAACACCATTGAATGTTAAGGAGTGGTGTTTAGATTGTCTCTTGTTGGAGATGGGCATTGCTTGACATTCGTGTGGCATGAATGCTGCTTGCCTTTTCTAAGTCTAAACCTAGATATCGTGCAGGTCTTGATGTATTTGGACATGGGCTGCTTCAGTATCTGAGGAGTCACAAATTGTGCTAAATATTGTGCAAACATCCCCACTTCTGACCTTATGATGGAGGGAAGGTCATTGATGAAAGCAGCTGAAGATGGTTAGACCGAGGACATTACCCTGAGGCACTCCTGCAGAGATGTCTTGGAGCGGAGATGACTGACCTCCAATAACCACGATCATCTTCCTACATTCCAGGTATTACTCCAACCAGCAGAGAATTTCACCCCTGCACCGATTTCCCACAGAGCCCTCACACAGCCGGAGTCAATGTTGGCAGATTCAATGGAACGCGGTGCTGATGTCAAGGACTGTCAAGCTCACCACACCTCTGGAATTCAGCTCTTTTGTCCACGTTTGAACCAAGGCTGTAATGAGGTCAGGAGCTGAGCGATCCTGGCGGAACCCAAACTGGGTATCACTGAGCATGTTATTTCTGAGCAGATGCTGCTTGATAGCACTGTGAATGATACCTTCCATCACTTTACTGATGATCAAGAATAGACTGATGGGACAGTAAATAGCCGGGTTGGATTTGTCCTGCTTTTTATGTACAGGACATACCTGGGCAATTTTCCAAATAGTTGATAGATGGCAGTATTGCTTTGGAACTGAAACATCTGGTTTAGGGGTGCAGCAAGTCCAGGAACACAAGTCTTCAATACTATTGCAGGGCTGTAACTGGGGCTATAACTTGGCAGGATTTCAATGCCTCCAACCATTTCTTGATATCACGTGAAGCGAACTGAATTGGCTGAAGACTGGCATTTCTGATGCTGGGGACCTCTAGAGGAGGCCAAGATGGATCAATGACTCAGTACTTCTAGATGAAGATTGTTGCCAATGCATCAGCCTCGTCTTTAGAACGGATGTGCAGGGCTCCCTCAGTACTGAAAATGGGGATATTTGCGCAAAGTCCTCTTGCAGTGAGTTGTTTAATTGTCCACAACCATTCATGACTGAGCTTAGATCTGATCTGGTCTGTTCATTCTCAGATTGCTTAGCTCTGTCCATCACTTGCTCCTTATGCTGTTTGGCACACTAGTCCTGTTTTGTAGCTTCACCAGGTTGACTCCTCATTTTTAGCTATGTCTGTTGCTCCTGGCATGCCCTCCTGCACTCTTCATTAAACTACTATCTACTAGTAATTCCCCATTCTCACTCTCTAGAGGAACACAATTTACTTATACTTCTTTTTAAAAAGTTCTTGCTCTCCAATTTTAGTTTCCTAGCTAGCTTCCTTCTGAGTAACCTTGTTGCTATTCTTTGACATTCTTAATATTCTGACCAATTATCCAACCTGTCACTCATGCTTGTGCAGTTATATACTTTTTCTTCTAGTTAGATTCTTTCCCAAACATCCTTATTTAACCACAGATGATGGCTCCTTTCTTGAGAAGTTTTCTTTACAATAGAAACATATTTAACAGTATTTTAAACTATCCTCTTTAATGGCATCTCCATACATACATCCACCAGTCTGAATGCCAGGTCACTTCAGCTAGCTCAGTTTTCATGCTCATGTAGCTATCTTTAACAGAATTCGAAATATTACTCCTAGACCCAAACATCTTCCTTTCAAACTGGATGTAAAATGGAGTTATATTTTGGTCACTACTATCCAAGGGAGTCTTTATTTTGAGGTTATGAATTAATAAAGACAGCCATTTAGGAAAAGCATCAGAATTCTATGAATTTGTAACCAAGCTTAATTTAACAACTTCGAGAGAAGAAAAATGAGAAATCCTAGGACGAGGTTGCTTACCTTCCTAATATTTCCAGAAGTTCTGCTACACCATTAAAACGTTCTGTTTCATAAATAAATCTGCAAAGAAAACTGACGTTAAAAGTGTGCGCTTAAACAGCAAGCAACACTTTTTACTGGAAAGAAAAATAAAAACAATACAAAACAGTGAAACTTGTAACAACAATGCCCAAATATTTGCAAAAAAACATTCAAAAACTTAAAATATATTATTTTAGTATTTTGAAGTACAGAGTTCAAACCTGAAATTATGCGTAGGATGTTGATATAGTCAATGTACAGCTAGCTAGCTAAGAAATGCTGCAGATGTAATTTTCAACATTTGTGTTTGGCGTACCATATTTAATACTTACCTCACTTGCATTTCAGAAAATTATAAATTAAAAGATCTCATCTGTTACTTATTCAGAAAGGAGGTAACCATAGAAATAGTGGATGCACTGGTTACAATTTGTCAAAGGTCACCAGATTCCAGAAAGGTTTCAGATTGGAAATTAGCAAATGTAACTCCTATTCAAGAAAGGTGGGAGAGAACACAAAAAACAGGAGCAAGAATAGGACATTCAGCTACGAGTCTGCTCTGCAATTGAGAAAGATCATAGCTGTTCCAAATGCGGCCTTAACCCCATTTTCCAGGACACCTAACACCCCCATTCTTAAATAAATATAGATTCCACTGTCAAGGAGAGAGAACAAGAAATTACAGGCCAATTGGCTTGACATCAGCTGTTGGGATATATTAAGGACGACTTAACTTACAACACCATATAATAAATGGCTAACGTTCACATGATTTTATAAATGGAAAATAACATTTGACAAAATCTTTAGCTTTTTGAGGACGTACCTACAAAGACAGATAAAGGGTAACCAGTACATGTAGTATGCTTGGAGGTCCAAAAGGTATTTAACAAGATCAAATCAATGAAAATGGGGTAACATATTAGCATGGATTTGTTAATAAACTGGAAGCAAAGGGCAATAAAATGTTTTCAGCTTCACTCGCTGTGACTCTTGTCGTGAGAATCGGTGCTGAGGCCACAGTCATTAATAATCAACATTAAAGGACTTGGATAAAGAGTAATGCATCTCAGTTTGTTGAGATACAAAGGTACACGGGAATGCAAGCTGCGAGAAGGACAGAGAAAGAGGAAAGCTAAGTGAGTGGACAACAAGGTGGCAGAGAGTATAATGTGGGTAGGAACGAGGATATTAACATATTTATTAAAAGAATGAATTATTTGAAAATGTCTTGAAAAATTTGTTCCAGGCAATCTAGATAATGCTCTATAACATGCTTCATAAAATTTACAATTTATAAAAATTCCAAGGTTTGACAACTGATCCTGGAAAACCAAGTATGATACTGAAGTGGATGATCAGCCACGATTGCACTGAATGACAGCGAAGGCTCAAAGGGCTGATGACCTATTCTTTTAATGCTCCTAATTTATCAAAATTTCAAATCATACAGTTAAAAAAAAGAAGGTTCTTTGGCCATCAAGTCTATACTACCAAGAAATGTGCTATGGCCTACACTAGTTCCATTTTCCTGCGCTAGGTCTATAGCCCTCAATGTTATGACATTTCAAGTGCTCATCCAAGTAGTTTCTCCAAGATTGTAAGATTTCCCACCTCAACTACCCTCCCAGGCAGTGCATTCCAGACCCACACCACCCTCTGGGTGAAAAGGTATTTCCTCACAACCCTTCTAAACCTGCTGCCTTCCACTTTAAAATCATGCCAACCCCGCCGCCCATCCCCCCACCCCGCCCCCGCAACTTTGTTATTGATCCTTCAACTAAGCAGAACATCTGCTTTCTGTTCACCCTGTCCATGCACCTTATTTTATAAGTTTCCATCAGTCCCCCACCCCCTGAAACCTTCTCTGCCCCAAAGAAAATAACCCGAGCTCATGCAGTTTCTCTCTTCATAGCTGAAAAGCTCCATCCCATGCATCATCCTGGTAAATTTCCTGTGTACGCCTCCAATGCAATCACATCCTTCCCACAGTGCAGACACCAGAACTGCACACAGTACTCCATCTGTGGCCTAACCAAAGTTCTGTACAGATTCAAAGTGACCTCCCTGCTCTTGTAATCTACACCAGGATCAATAAAGACAGGTGTCCTGCACTACCTTATTGACCTGTCCTGCCAGCTTCAGGGATCTGTGGACAAGATCCCAGAATCAAAGCACTTAGAAAGGACTTGCATCAACATTGCAGTGAAATCAAGAATTCATTGTTAGAATTCAATTTGACTAAATTATCGCACAAGATTGGAAAGAGCTTTGATGCAAACCCAGGAAGATGCCAATTCCTTGCTCAATTATCTCCCCAAGAGCAGTGATTCGGTTAAGACAAGGGATGATGCTAATCAGACCCCATTTTCTTGGTGTTAATGGCCTGGTAAGTTATTGGAAGCTTCAGTAAGCATATTGCAGTTCCCTTATGGCAAAGCACCTGCATTCACTACTCTAACCACTATGAACTATGCACAAGGCAGATAACTTTATTGAGGTACAAGTTTGACACAGATCTTAAATTAGTGCTGAGTATTACTCAGCATCCTCATATTCACTTTCTTAACTCCCTTCATCTACCCCCAACAAAATACACTTGAACGTAATTCTTCATTATTCTCAAGTCAAATATTCGACACAATAGGTAATAATAACACTTACTGTAGAAAAATATTGTTAATTTGCTTCCGGATAAACGCTCTAAGTCCAAGAAACTTCCCATAAATTCTGTGCAAAACAGTCTTCAGGTAGTCTCGCTCTCGGGGATCTTCACTGTTGAATAATTCTAAAAGCTGAAAATTACCAAAAATATAATTTCACCCTTCCTGTAAAGCTCTTGCCCAGTTTACAGATAAGTTTGACTTAGTTTATTTGTAGTCACCATACCTTCATCTTCATTTCAACAATAGGTCAATTGTAATAAAATGCAATCTTACTTTGTTCTCTAGAAGCATTTGATAATTCTACTTTTGCTCAGAAATCTAACATAATTTTGACTTGATTAAACATAGAAGTCACAACAGGAACTAATCCCAGTACTTTGCTAATGGATTATTGTAGCGATTGAAAGATCACAACATTCTAGTCAATTTTCAACTCAGTAGTCTGCCCTCTGACATGTTTTTACATACACACACATATACAGAAATGGCACTCAACCACTGAATTCACTGCTGTTCAAATATTTCATAACTTTTCTCATCATACAATTAAATTGTGGAAATAATATTTTATATCATTGATTGCTAAGTTCAATATCACAAGGTTCTAGGCAGTGTGTTAACACACTGAGTGTGATCAGTGACAGAGCAGGAATTCTTGAAACCGAAAACGTGATAGTGCATGTCAAAGCAGGGAAATCTAATTTTAAAGGAATGATCCAATTGACACCTGCCCCTAGAATGGAGGGATCTCAGATTGAGATTAAAGCAAAATGCATAAAGGGGCAAAGTATAGAATCAAGTTCTCCCATAGGTGCACGAATGTCACCACTTTGGGGTAAAGGCCTGCGTAATTGTCTGGTAAATGTTCTGCATTGACTATTTTTGGTATACAATGGCACATAAGTCAATGAACGTCAGTATCTGCTAAATGATTATCGTGATCATCAATGAATTTGTAACTACCTTATTCACTCCATTACACGTTAGAAGATCCTCATATATACTGGAAGGTTTCTTCTGGGATTTTCTCTGCAGGTTTATCAAATGACAACTTCACAGATAGATGGAGGTGGTGTATAGGATCCCTACAGTGCGCCTGCATTTTCCCATGGATAATCCCTGGGCACTATGGACAATTTAGCATGGCCAATCCACTTAACCTGCACGTTTGGACTGTGGGAAGAAAATCGGAGCACCCGGAGGAAACCCACGCAGACACGGGGAGAATGTGCAAACTCCACACAGATAGTCTTCCAAAGGTAGAATTGAACCTGGGTCCCTGATGCTGTGAGGCAGCAGTACTAACCACTGACCCAGAAGAATATAGAAGAATTTTTGTGGGCACTAGGAAGCTACAATAAATTTTGAATCCATAATATTCAATTTGGAACAGAACAGATACATTTAGGGAAGACATGCACAAAACTATTAATGCAAAGCCAAGGAACCACAACTTCATGAAGCTTTAAAAGGGAAATGAGTAGCAAATCACTGAACATTTTTTAAAACAATGTTGCAAAAGGATATTCAAAATATCACCTATACTCAAACTTAAATATATACACATTGGCCAGAATATTTTGCTGTCTTAGAGGATATAAAGGTGGATCAATCTCCTAGGCCTGATCTAAAATATCCCAGAACACAGTGGGAAGGGAGGAAATCATGAGGCCCCTTGCAGAAATATTTGCATCATTTATAACTATGGGTGAGGTGCCTGATGACTGGAGCGCAGCTAATTTGTACCTTTGTCTAAGGGAGGTTGTAACGAAAAACCAGGGAACTATGGACCTGAGAGTCTGACTTCAGTTGTGGGTAAGTTGATGGAGGTGATTAAAAAAGATAGGATTTACAGACATTTAGAGAGGCAAAAATTGATTAGAGATAGTCAGCATGGTTTTGTGTGAGGAAAATTGTGTCTCAAAGGCTTAATTGAGTCTTTGGAGGAACTTACCAAAAAAATTGATAATAGCACAGCAGTGTTGTTGTTGATTTGGATTTTAGTAAAGCCCTTGACAAAGTTCTGCATGGTATACTAATTAGTAAAGTTAGGTCACAGGGGATTTAGGGTGAGCTTGCCAATTGGATACATAATTGGTTTAACAGCAGGAGACAGTGGTGGTGGAGTGCTGCTTTTCATGCTAGAGGCCTGTCACCAACAGCATTCCACAAGAATCTGTTCTGGGTACTCTTTCGCTTGTCATTTATATAAATAATTTAGATGAGAATATAGCAGGCATTGTTAGTATGTTTGCAGGCGACACTAAAATTGGTGACATAGTAGTCAGTGAAGAAGGATTTCTAAGATTACAAAGGAATCTGGATCAAATGGTCAATGGACTGAAAAATGGCAAATGGAGTTCAATCTGGATAAATGCGAGATATTGCATTTTGGTACAACAAACAAGGGTAGGACTTATCCAATTAATGGTAGGGCTTTGGGTAGTGCTGTAAGAACAGAGGGACCTAGGGGTGTAGGTACATAATTCTTCTTTCAAGTTTGCATCATGTATAGACAGGGTGGTTAAAAAGGTGTTTGGCATGATTGCCTAGGAGCTGGGAAGTCATGTGGCAGGTTGCACAGGACATTGGTGAACAGTTTGGAATATTGTTTGCAGTCCTGGTCACCCAGTTATAGGAAAGATATTATCAAGCAGGAGAGGGTTCAGAAAAGATTTACCAGGATATTGTCGGGTACGGAAGGTTTGAGTTATAAAGAAAGACTGGATAGGCTGGGACATTTTTCCATTGGAGCGTAGGAGGTTGAAAGGCGATGTGATACAAGTTTATAAAATAATGGGAGGTATAGATGGAGTTAACGTTAATTGTCTTTTCCTTAGGATAGGGGTTTTCAAGACTAGTGTGCATATTTTGAAGGTGAAAGGAGAGAGATTTAAAAAAGATAGTGGCTTTTTAACACCACGGGGGTGTGGAACGAACTTCATGAGTAAGCGTTGGATGCCGGTACAATTACAATGTTTAAAAGACATTTGGATAGATACATGAATAGGAAAGGTTTTGAGGGATATGGGACAGGAACAGGCAGGTGGCACTAGTTTTGTTTGGGATTATGCTCGTCATGGGCTGGTTGGACTGATGGGCCTGTTTTCGTGCTGTATGACTGACTTTATACTGTTCTATATCTTAGTTTCATGAACAATTGGTTGGTAGAAAGTACAAGCAATGGACAATTATTTATCTAGTCAAAAAAACAGTTCACACGCACCTGCAATACAAATTTCTGATCTACATATTTTTTGGCAATACTCGGTTGGAATTCTTGACTCTCCAAAAACCGAATGAAGAACTCATATACAAGCTGAAATAGATAAGTTAAATTACAATTTAGTAAACACTCATTCATTTCTAAATGTAAAGCTACCAGAAAGAAAAAGATCAGGTTTGAAAGGGGCAGCTTTTAACCATCATTTCTTGCTGATTTCACAAATTTCTCCCCACTCTCACCAAAAAAAGTGAGTAATGAGTAGTGAAGGCGCATGCAAAAGAAAGTTTCAGTGGTTTAGCAAAAATTTCTTTAGCTCTTGGTGCTAATGTTATTTACCAGAAAGGAATAAAACCCTGCCAACTCCAATTAAGAAATACGGTATGAACTGGTTTTTGCTACTGCATTTACTTCCCTGTAGTATATGCGGAATCCAGTCGACCCTTTCAGTTTAGAAATTTACACCACTGATGAATTCCAGCTGCCTGGCTAGGTTCAATCAGGTGATTCTCAAGTGTGTACTGAATCTTCTCTTCCAGAGCTTTATCAATAAAAGGTGTCATTTTATTGGTACTGATTCTGATAAATCTACATCATGCCTGGCTTATATTGTACATCCTGGTGTATCTCTACAGATTACCTTGAATTTCCTCAGTAACCTAATTAGATCCAAATACATAAATACTAGTGCTTAACTACCCCAATATTTCAGTATAACTGAGATAATGGGAGGTTTACTTCGTGACCTATCTACCTCTCCTACCTCACTCACTGTTTTAGTCATCCTGCACTACTCTTACCACTTGACACATTTGCTTTTCCTCATCTTCCTCTCTAACATGTTTATGTGACATAAACTGATTTTTCTTTCTGCAATCAGGAGCATCTGCCAGATAAGTCACTTAGCTAACCCACCCAACTACCTCATGTGGACCACTAAACTTGGTTTCAGAGGTTCATCTTGCAAAGGTAATATCGCTAATACTTTATTTCCTTTTTGAAATGTTCTAGTTGCAGCATTTTTGCCTGTGAAGTTTTTAAAAATACACCCATGGTACTTTGCACACTCCTGTCTCTAAAAAAAAAGGGACATATAATTCTCAATATTTCGAGGATTCACCTTCTTGCCTTAAACAATGCAGACATACATCCGAGGAGATTTCTTGCTATCTCTCATGAACATCACCAAGAACTGTGTTCTCATGACCAGTTTTCGTGGGCCTCTTATCTCAGAACCATAGATCAATTTGAATGGACTAAACCCAGTAGATTCAATTGGAGAATCTCTTGCAGCAAATTGCAAGGAATCTAACCCTTTTTCCTAATTCTGTAAGCATGCAAAACAATTTCCCTTAAATGATTATTTTGAAAGTCCAATGGTTTCGCTCCAAAGCCTGTGTTTGTGAATGGACTTCAACTTGCTTATTATGTTGAGGTGTCCCCACTGCCTGATATATTCAGTATGTCTTTATAAAACTGCATTATGCCCTTATGAAGTCCTGACCAAGGTAAAATTTCTGCTTGTTGATGCTCGTCTTTTTCATATTCATGTTTTGCCATAAAAACCTCACGTGCTACTCGCAGCATCACATTATTAGACTTGACAGTCTATCAGGTGAACAACCGTCCATTCATGATCCGTAGGAATAGGAGGATGTCCCCACTTTCTCATCAGATGTCCATTTTTAATGTAATCCCATTCTAGTTCTTTGCCAGCCTCTGCTGCAGTGTAAACTGTGTCAACTTGCTTATCTCCGAATCAGCTACTCAAACATCTGTTTGTGTTATTACTTTGTCTGGTGATGAAATTTGTTCAGCCATTGTTCTCATTACCACTCTCAATATTTAAAAATCCTGAATAAAGACAATACATTGCAGATGTTGAAAATCTGAAATAAACAAAAGGCTGGAGAATTTCAGCAGATTTGAGAGTGTCTGTGGAGACTCTAAATATTAACGGCTTCTCTCTCCGCAGATGCTGCATAACTGTCAAAATACTTGAAACTGGTTGCTCTAACACTGCTGTGTCTTTAACCTCACTTGGATTTTGAGATTACGGGCAACATTATAAACTTCACTCCAACCAAATCACTATCTAGAAGTCAATCAATTTTGTCCACAGGTAATTTTTTTTTTCAAGCAACTCCTACTTCCACTTTTCCTGAGAAAAAGTCTCACGAACTGCATATTGAGCAAGAGAACCAGGATATACTTTGGCTTTCACTATATTCTCCAGAGGGAAAGATATGCCCTTTTCCAGCAAAAGGATTTTTAGCTTGTACCCCTTAAAATAGCTATGGTTCAGTGGAATAATTTCAAAGAAGAGAAGTTCTTGTTCCTTTTGACATAAAAAAGGTATTTTAGTCACCCCTGCTGCAACGACAGCAGTGTTTACCTCCAGTTTTACCATTGTAGTTCAGCTACATTTTGATCTGCGGTATTTTCTGTGTGAGTTCCTGATCAGCCTCACTCCTATGAACCCATAATCCTTAAAAACCTCCTTCAACAGTGATGCATACATTTTCTATGCTTGATCTGCCAACTTGCTCGGCATGGGTAATGTCCTGTTTCTCTCTGGCCACTTCAGTTGTTCCACTATTTTATCAACTGGAAAATGACAGAATGCCTCCATGTTTTTACCCCCTCATTGTTGTAGGGCCTATACAAATTTAAACATTCCTTACTCAATTTTAGATGTGACTAGGATTCTTCAGCATATAAAATCTCTTCTGTCAACTGCATTACAGTAGCTTCTGCTATAACGCGATAGTTTCATTCCAGTGCAACATCATGTTATAGAAAAATGTGCTATAGAAATATCAGTGCCTATGGGAAAAGCGGGATCAGGAGCAGACCACCAAAAGAGCATAACGCAAAGGACAGCACTACTGTCAGCAGCTGTTCAGACAGGTTGGTCCAGCTGTGACAGCAGCTTTGCCGCTCCTTCTCAGGTTTACACAACTATCCTCACGATTTCCAAAAAGTGCAGAATAGTTGCCCAGGTGTCCTGGTCAATACTTATCCATTAGTCAACAACACAATGATAGATTGTGTGGTCATTATCACATTGTTGCTTGTGGGAGCGTGTGGTGTGAAAATTAGCTGCTGTATTTTCTACAATGACTGCACTTCAAAAATATTTCAGTGGCTGTCAAGCTCTTTATAACATCCTGAGTCTGTGAAAGATACAAGCCTTTGTAAGAAAGATCTAGGTTCAAGTCCTGCCTCAAATCTCAAGTGGCCAGGGAAGGTGTATTCACAATGTGACTAAAAAGATTGATACTCAATCAGCAAATTCTTCCAACATTGCCAGTAGCAGACTGTAAGATTGAGACAGATTCCTGGTCAGCCGTGTGACTAAAAGAACATTGGGTACTCTACCACCACTATCCATAGTTCCAGACTGTGACATACATATGTGTATGTTGCCATTGCAACTCAGACTCCTTCAGTGATCTTATCACCACAGCACAAGGGTATCGAAGGATATGGAGCAAAGGTGGGAAAATCAAGTTGAAACGCAAGTCAACCATGATCTGACTAATTACTTAAATAGGCTGCTGGAGCCTCTTGTCGTACCCAAGTCCGATGCCTCGCAGTGTTTCCTTTCAAGGTAAGTTAGATATACTGTTTTTCTCTCCCCTACAGCTTACTTTCCCTGATAACAAATCTGCTGCCTTCTTTCTTTTCAATTTTAATGAAGGCTGACAGGGAGAATTTCTCCAGGACTCTCAGAATCACAAGTACACTGTAGATGTCATTAGCAAAGAGCTCTTGACAGCCAGATACCTACTCAGTGGAACTGTATTATAGCCAATGCAAGTTAGTGTTTTAGAAATAGCACTCCCTTATTTGTCAATCATGTTGTAGCCAATTCTCATTGCTGGAACACGCGTTATAGCAGAACTGAAGGAGGGCACTATGGAGGACTCGAGCAGTGAGACAATATGGGCAGAGCTCAGAAATAGGAAGGGTGCGGTAACAATGTTGGGATTGTACTATAGGCCTCCCAACAGCGAGAGAGAGATAGAGGCACAAATACGTAGACAGATTATGGAAAGATGTAGGAGCAACAGGGTGGTGGTGATGGGAGATTTTAATTTTCCCAACATTGGGATTCACTTAGTGTTAGGGGTTTAGACGGAGCAGAATTTGTAAGGAGCATCCAGGAGGGTTTTCTAGAACAGTATGTAAGTAGTCCAACTCGGGAAGGGGCCATACTGGACCTGGTGTTGGGGAATGAGCCCGGCCAGGTGGTTGAAGTTTCAGTAGGGGATTATTTTGGGAATAGTGATCACAATTCCATAAGTTTTAGAATACTGATGGACAAAGACAAGAGTGGTCCTAAAGGAAGAGTGCTGAACTGGGAGAAGGCCAACTATAGCAAAATTTGGCAGGAGCTGGGGAATGTGGATTGGGAGCAGCTGTTTGAGGGTAAATCCATATTTGATATGTGGGAGGCTTTTAAAAGAGAGGTTGATCAGAGTGCAGGACAGACATGTCCCTGTGAAAATGAGGGATAGAAAGGGCAAGATTAGGGAACCATGGATGACAGTCTCACAATTTCACCTATCAAAGAGGAAAAAGGAAGCATACATAAAGGTCTAGGCAACTGAAAACAGATGAAGCTTTGGAAGAATATCGGGAAAGTAAGATCAATCTGAAACGAGGAATTAAGAGGGCTAAAAGGGGTCATGAAATATCTTTAGCAAACAGGGTTAAGGAAAATCCCAAAGCTTTTTATTCATACATAAAGGAGCAAGAGGGTAACTAGAGAAAGGGTTGGCCCGCTCAATGACAAAGGAGGGAAGTTATGCGAGGAGTCAGAGAAAATGAGTGAGATTCTTAATGAGTACTTTGCGTTGGTATTCATTGAGGAGAGGGACATGACGGATGTTGAGGTTATGGATAGACGTTTGATTACTCTAGGTCAAGTCAGCAGGAGGGGGAAAGTGTTGGGTATTCTAAAAGGCATTAGGGTGGACGAGTCCCCAGGTCCGGATGGGATTTATCCCAGGTTACTGAGGGAAGCAAGCGAGGAAATAGCTGGGGCCTTAACAGATATATTTGCAGCATCCTTGAGCACGGGTGAGGTCCCAGAGGACTGGAGAATTGCTAATGTTGTCCCCTTGTTTAAGGAGGGTAGCAAGGATAACCCAGGTAATTATAGACTGGTGAGCCTGACGTCAGTGGTGGGGAAGCTGCTGGAGAAGATACTGAGGGATAGGATCTGTTTACATTTGGAAGAAAATGGGCTTATTAGCGATAGGCAGCATGGTTTTGCGCAGGGAAGGTCATGTCTTACCAACTTGATAGAATTCTTTGAGGAAGTGACAAAGTTGATAGATGAGGGAAGGGCTGTAGATGTCATATACATGGACTTCAGTAAGGCGTTTGATAAGGTTCCCCATGGTAGGCTGATGGAGAAAGTGAAGTCGCACGGGGTCCAGGGTGTACCAGCTAGATGGATAGAGAACTGGCTGGTCAACAGGAGACAGAGTTGTAGTGGAAGGGAGTTTGTCAAAATGGAGAACTGTGACCAGTGGTGTTCCACAGGGATCCGTGTTGGGACCACTGCTGTTTGTGATATACATAAATGATCTGGAAGAAGGTATAGATGGTCTGATTAGCAAGTTTGGAGATGACACTAAGATTGGTGGAGTAGCAGATAGTGAAGGGGACTGTCAGAGAATGCAGCAGAATATAGATTGATTGGAGAGTTGGGCGGAGAAATGGCAGATGGAGTTTAATCCAGGCAAATGTGAGGTGATGCATTTTGGAAGATCCAATTCAAGGGCAAACTATACGGTAAATGGAAAAGCCCTGAGGAAAACTGATGCACAGAGAGATCTGGGTGTTCAGGTCCATTGTACCCTGAAGGTGGCAACGCAGGTCGTTAGAGTGGTCAAAAAGGCATACGGCATGCTTTCATTCATCAGACGGGGTATTGAGTACAAGAATTGGCAGGTCACGTTACAGTTGTATAGGACTTTGGTTCGACCACATTTGGAATACTGCGTACAGTTCTGGTCGCCACATTACCAAAAGGATGTGGATGCTTTGGAGAGGGTGCAGAGGAGGTTCACCAGGACGTTGCCTGGTATGGAGGGCGCTAGCTATGAAGAGAGGTTGAGTAGATTAGGATTATTTACACTAGAAAGACGGAGGTTGAGGGGGGACCTGATTGAGGTCTACAAAAATCATGAGGGGTATAGACAGGGTGGATAGCAAGAAGCTTTTTCCCCCCAGAGAGGGGGACTCAATTACTAGGGGTCATGATTTCAAGGTGAGAGGGGAAAAAGTTTAAGGGAGATATGCGTGGAAAGTTCTTTATGCAGAGGGTGGTGGGTGCCTGGAACGCGTTGCCAGTGGAGGTGGTAGAGGCGGGCACAATAGCGTCATTTAAGATGTATCTGTCTAGATACATGAATGGGCAGGGAGCAGAGGGATACAGATCCTTGGAAAATAGGCGACAGGTTTAGAGAGAGTATCTGGATCGGCGTAGGCTTGGAGGGCTGAAGGACCTGTTCCTGTGCTGTAATTGTCTTTGTTCTTTGTTTTAACTCTCTGTATTTTATATCATGATTCTCTATCTCCCTTTCTTTCTCCTTTTCTCTCTCCTGAATCTCTCGCTTGGGCTTTTTCCTCTCTGAATTGCTCAGGTTTATTCTCCTCTCTCTGAAGATCAAGTTCAAGTGTATTCATTTCCATCTCCTGCTTTTTCATTTCAATGTTCTTCTTCTCTATCTTACACTGTTCAAACTATAATTGAATCTCTGCTAACTCAACCAAATCACCGTATATCTACTCCCTCATGTATTTCCACCAGTCTATATCATTTGTCAAAATTTCACTCACCTGTGCCTTCTTGGCACTGGCTGGCAATTTGATTTGTGATTTAAGCACCAATTTTATCTGTCTGGCTTTTGTTACCTCCTTTAAATCTATCACAGATACCTCTTTACATACAAAAGACAAAATCCCAATTAGACCACCAAGGTGATCATTTTGCCTGTCTGACTGCTATGCAGGACAAAGGCAATTCACACCAGATTTCATCACTGACAGAAAATAGTGTAATATTTAATTTTAACAATGGCAGAGAAAGCAAGTATTTCTAATCTACTGCTATGTGATCTAAACCAACTCCTTCAAAAGGCCAAAATACACAGACACAGTCATGATTAAGACAGACAATTTGATACACAATACAGGTGGACAATGAATAAAAACAGGGTAAAGCAAAAAAGATTAAAAAAAGTCCAGATTTCATGAGCAAATTAAATGCTCTTACACAGTTCCTCTCAATCTGTGGCACTGATTACACACTGCTTTCTGGAAGGCAATGGTCATTCTTCACTTTCTGAAGAAGGGTCTAGGCCCGAAATGTCAGCCTTCCTGCTCCTCTGATGCTGCTTGGCCTGCTGTGTTCATCCAGCTCTATACCTTGTTATCTCGGTCATTCTTCACTGATGGTTTATATGCCAGACAGAGGTCTTTTGTTAGCATTTTTTGTTTTAATCTTTCTTGGTTGTTTTTTGGTCAGTTCCCTCACACTGAGCAAAGGGGAAGAGAGATGTTTTCAATTTACTGGGTCTAGAGGTGTCCAGCTGCTCTGCAGGTCAGATTTGCAGCAAAACTGCAGCTCGATCAATCTGGGGGCTATTGTCAGGTTGTTTTTCTTAAATGCAAAATCCAGATGCCACTCTCAAAGAAACACCTTCACCGCTTCAAAACGTAATGTTTACCATAGCTAAAAATATATACCACTTGATTTTTCCAAGTTGCAAAATTCTCCTAGTTTCTCAGCCAAATACAAAGCCAACTTCCATTTCAGTTTACAGCCCAAATGGAAAAACAAATGTGGCCCATTACAGATTATCAAAATACATTAGTAATAAAGAAAGCATATTAACCAGCTATTTTACTATGAGCTTGCAGTGTTCACCTGTAAATGAGGCCAGGATGCTTCCAGCATTGGTTCATCTTCTTCTGGATCAAACTCTGAAGATTCTGACGGTGGAAGCGTCCTAAATATATTGAAAGAAACCTATAACAAGATAGAGTACTAAATTAAATGCTGAATTCTCTCCTTTCAACCCCATCCAATGCATTCTGACTAAGAGTTATGTACTGACAATATGCCATTTCAATAAGTTCATTGTGTTTCTCCAAATTCCAAGTAATACAGGAAAACTGAATGGTGTATTAAAAATCACAGCCAATGGAAAATTATGGAAAGAATTCAGACAGTTCACGTGTCGAGAATAAAGTATGTGGGAAACTCTGAATACCAAGCATTAACTAATATTTGGATAATCAAAGTTTTCTGAAGGTTTATGCCAGGTTTTCTGATCAAATACACCAGATCAAATATATCTGATTTATTCACAGTGCTTAGAATGAAGTGCCTGCATGCCGGTAGATGTATTAACGTATAAAATGGATATAATATAATAAAGTGCATTGCCATCCTTCGCCCTCAACAGCAAGCAATTTTCATGCTCAACAGTATATGTCTCTCAAAGAGAAAATAAAGAAAAAAAACAAAGAAATGTAAATCGTCTAAAGAAAATTTTAGACAAAGTAAAAAGAGAACTAGAGATGCCCAAATGAAGCCAAGGTCAGTTTGGATACTATCAACTGGATGCACTACACCAATTTTCTTAGGTTTCTTTGCGAGTATCTCTCAAACCTATGGCTTCTATCGCCTAGAAAAACAGGTCAGTAGGTGCATGATGCACCATCACTTTCAAGTGACGCAGCTTCCCAACTGGGGACATCTATTACATTCCTTCACAAGCACATGTTCAAACTTCTTGAACCCAATCCCACAGCTTTATGGAAGCACCTCACTAGATGAACTGCAGTGGTTCAATAAAAGGAGTTTACAACCATCTTCTCAGATGCAATTAGGAATGGTCTTTAAAAGCTGGTCTTGCTAGTGATGCCAAATTTTAAGTATAAATAATTTTAAAATATTGCAGCCATCCAACAAAATTCACCGTTGCACGTGGGAGTAACACTCAAGTGAAATACCACAGCTCATTCGGTCTTGGAATCAGATACTAAAAACATAGAGGGGGAAAATTGTGTAACAGGATTGGAAATGCACAATGGTGTTGATCAAAATATCATGATAGACAGAAGACAAATTTTAGACTGCTTATTTAAGTGAAAACTATACCAGCTGAAGGAATACTGGTAAATGGGACTAGATTAATTTAGGATGTCTGGTCGGTATGGACAAGTTTCCGTGCTGTACATCTCTATGATTCACTACTTCACTTCTAATGCATTCCAGAAGTAAACTCCTTAGTTTTGTACGCATTAGTAGTAAACACCAGCTGGAATTTTCAAGACAATCAAAAAGTTCCATATAAAATAAACAATTAAGTTTTAGAACACTGTTAAAGATCCACTTCAAAAGACTTCAATCTAATTTAAAATTACCTTGTGCTGAAATGGGTTGAGCAACTTAAACAGCACAGGATGTGTTCTTCACCACAATTTGAATTAACAGATAAAAGAAAGAGCAGGAAGCATTTGTCATTTGGTTTGTTTTCCCACTGTAGATCAAACCATGTAAATATTTAGCCAGATAGGTGGTGGACAGGCTGCATCTCCCAATGTAAATAAACAAAGCAAATGTGTCAATGCTCTTGAATTTTGCACGAGATTTTAAAAGGTCAATAGTACACACGTACTTTAAATGGGTACAATCTTCCAGTTCACTACTACTTTTTATTTACTATCAAGTAAATTTATGCAGTTTAAGTATTCAAAAGAAATTAACTCACGCTCAGACTGACATCGCGAAAAAAAAACTTTGTACTTCAAAACCATTGAGAATGACCTCACCCAGGAATTAAAAAGCATTCCAAAAAGATTTTTAAAAAATCATTTTTAAAAACTTGACTGCTTTGTCTACATAAAAGCATCACTAGCATGGTTCCAACATAAATGGACTGTGACCAATTGGAGCAAATCGCTGATACATTCAATTAACCAATATGACTCAAACACCTGGATTGGACAGAATAAAGGATCAAAGTTCTCATTCCTATTAATATCTAATGAAAACGTAAATATAAAGACCAGATGATCAACTGAAACGCCCGCCATGGAAATCGATTATCAACAGTTACTGTTTGAGTATATTCCTGGAGAACCACCACTTGGGACAGGTTACCAGGGCACTGCAGGCATTCTTGCAGTCACGCCATAGCATTTTCAGGAAAAGTAAAGAAAAATTAAGCAACTCTATTCATCAGTAACATTGCACAATACAGTAATATGCCAACTGACTAAACAACTCATACTTATATTGTACTTTCAACATTGGAAAAGATACAACAGAACTTTACCGGCTGTTAAACCTGACAAAATTAGTCACCGGGCCAAAGGAAACATTGGGACAAGATACTAAAAGCTTAACCAAAGGTTTTAAAGGAGGGTCTTAAAAAGAGAAAAAAATGTGAGTGCAGCAAAGAGATATAGAAAGTGTTATCCAGTGACAACGGTCTATAAAGGTTGCAGGTATGGGCATCAGTGGTGGGACAAAGTCCTTGAGTTGGAGTCTGTGATACAGAAGAGCAGGAGTTTTAATTTCATGGAAAATTGGCAGCATTGAAGGAGAGAAGAATAGAGGGGTACATGGTAATGCAGGGGCTTTGAACAAGAGAATGATAGCTAAAAACTGAGGCATTTGTGCACGTTGTGGATCAGGAACACTGTCCATTTCAGGATAATGATAGCACAGCAACGAGCTCGCTTATAAAGGGTAAATGAATGAGTGGCTGGCTAAAACAGCAATTAAATAACCGAGTCTGGATGCAACAAAAGCACACTTTAGGGTTCCAACAGCAGGTATGCTGACGTGGGAACATTACACCTCAAGTGACAGAGACAAGTGATCTTATGGAGACAGAAGTAGGGTGGTCTTTGCAAAGGACTAAGAGCTTGTGACAGAGGGTGTAGCTCAAGATCCAAAGTTTAATTGTAGAAAATTGCAGCTCATACAGGATTCTCAGGTAAACAAGCTGACAATGCTAAGACAGCGGAGTCAAGAAAATAGTTGCAAGGTAGAGTTGGGTGCCATTGGTACACCTGTGGAACTGGACATCAATTTTACTGACGCCAAACAACTTATAAATAAGAAATGAAGGGTCCTATCAGTCGATGGTCACTTACTTTTCCTGATCTACTTTACCATTCTAAATTTTTCCATATCTTTCACTAATGAGGAGTATGATCAAAGGTGTATAATGCATTATCATTTTTAGAAAGTCTTTTTTGATAAAGTGTCCGAAAGTCAATTTGAAGAAGTGACAAAATACATCAGTTCCAAGAGAGCTTGTGACTCTAGTATAATACCTGAGAGAACATTTGTAGCATTGATGGGTAAAATACTGTTAGGATGACGAATGGTGGAGCATTAAACACATTAAGGCAGTTAATTTAATCTCAACTTCAGAACAGAAAGTTCAAAGTTTTAGTTCAGAAGAACCTAGAGTTCAATTCAGAAGACAGAAGTTTCTCCTGGAGGAGTGGGTGGGGGAGGCTCCTTGGATTTAATGGAGCCAGAACTGTGGGTAGGTGCAAGAATTTAAGGGTTTTACTGGAGACAAAGTCATCAAACACAAGTGATGGAGAAATTGAATTGACTTGACAAGTTGTAGATATATTGTAACAAAGGAAGGGCCAAAGGGTAGTTAGAAATTTTAAAACTCCCAACTAAGTCATTAACAAGAATATCTTTAAAGAAATATTACGTAGAAAAACATCCCACTGCAGATCACAGCACGGTAATAAAGGCAAAAATTGCATCATGATATAAAGGTAAGATCCAGAGGGCTAACCAAAAGCTTGGTTAAAGAAAACTTGTAAGGGTGACCTCCAAAGGAAGGAGAAGCATCAGACCGATTAGGAAGGGTATTGCAGAGTTGGGCCTTGATGGCATGTGTCATCCCAACAATGGTAAGGACAATAGAGGACAAGAGGCAGAAAAGGCTAAACTCAAAAGAAAATAGATAGGTGATGAGGGTTTGTAGGGCAAGCATTTACCATTTTAACTACTTCAGGGTATGTTTGTTCTGTCAAGACTCCTCGACCCACTGCAACAAAGTCCACCAGTTCATTAAGGGTAGAGCGCTTGTACTCCTTCATTTTAAGATCTGATAGTGAATCCATGAAGTCAAATACAACGCAACACTGTTGCAATTTCTTCTGGAAGAGCAATGCCTTTTCAGTCGTGGAAACGTCTGGAAGAGGGGTGAGAAACAGACTAAATTTAGAATAAGTGATTAATAGCAATTTGCCCAGTTGAGAGCACTAATACTTTCATTTTTGAACACAGTTTGAATTGCAAAACAATTTTTATTAGTGCAAGCATAATGTTAGCATCCTAATCAAACAAATCAGCAGAAAAGAAATTCAGCAAGATAATTCTAGGGTGATATACCAGTTAGCTCAGCAAAATACAGACAGTATCTGAATCTTACACCTACACAGCAAGAAAAACAGTATAAAGACATCCAGTTTACTCCCACTGTTCAAGATTAACACGCTCTCTTCAAAATCCCTTTCCCGCTAAAAAGTGGGCTTAAATTCTATGTTAAACTTCACAAGCTTTACTCAAAAATGCTCAAGTGGTACCCGAGGTAACACTCTATAGTAATGTTCCCAAAGAAACCACTGCCCCATGAGATATATGGAACCCTATAAAAACAAATTTATACAGATGTTATTCCAAACTTCAGCCATAAGAGGGCAGACACGACAATAAAAAATGTTGATTAGTAACGCCCTTTCAAGTCAATGTTGTCAAATCCAAGTTGTTCTGAATCAAAAAGAAAATGACAAGTAACCCAGTATGGCTTCTGCCATAAACCTAGAACTATTCTTGTATTTTGACTCCTTTACCTTCTATATTATTTCATCCAGCTTCAATAATTTGATTTCAATGAAACACCATAGTACACAAGGTTTTATTTAAAAGTCTCTATCCCAATTGGAACTGGAGAAAATTTCCCACTATACAAATTTAAAATGTTCCCTCTCCAAATCATATTGGCATCTGTGGATCATGCATTTGCCAACATCTAGAGCTAAAATATACTTACTTTGATTTCCCAGGGTAGGCACCACCTGGGCTGCTACCTGTTCACATTGTCCATTGATAGAATTGAAGAATTCTATGTGGGACTCAATGTAGCAGCTCTCGGTGTTGCCTACCCCAGTGAATTGAGAAGTGGACAAGGAGTGACAAGCGGACTTATTTCACAACAATAATAACGTTCAAACGTTGTGGTATCTTATCCTATACCTGGTTTTAATAGAAAGGCTGGCAACACATTTTGCCATAATCTTAACCATTGTTTATGAAATACTAATATACTGATTAAAATCATTTGTTCACCCTTCCAATTATTTTACAACCGAATTCAGCCTGGCAGCGACAGAAGCCCTCATGGTTTTGACATGGGGTCAGCAGCACTCTTGCTCCTGCCAGCTCTGCATAAAAATAACGAAAATTTACTTTGTTGATTGCAGCCTTCGACAGTTTCTTGAAGGACACGTGCAGATGGTTCAGTACTGGCTTAGCTCACAGCAACCCAATATTGTTAGAGGGCCTTCACATAGATGCTAGCTCCTCAGCATATTGTAATAAATCTAATAAGCCTTTTTACTCTTTATTATTCATTGACCTTGGGTGCCTACATCAATATGATAAGTGCTGCAATTTCATTTCAAGTGGCGTTTCTTGACTGGAATGGGTGCCAAGCCATAAATGCAGACATTTTGAAAGTGGGATTAGCAGTGATTTCCAAATCGTCTTGGTCAGCAGAGCCCAAAATTTATTGTACCTGTAAATTATTTAAACATTGATGCCCATTATTCTAAAACACATAGAAAAATAGGCAGGCATTGAAATTTAAATTCTACACAAATTCCACTGCTATCTAACATACACAATAACTCTCCACAATTACCTGTTGTGAGAAAGATTATCCCACTGTGCGCTTGATCAATAAGCCACCACAGATACATAAACAATATTGTAAACCATTCTTTTCACATAGATCATACATGATATAACCAATACCAACATTTGTTTACAATTCAATGGTATGCATTGTACACAAATTTCAGTAACATTTCTGAACCTTTAATTATATGCAATGGAACTACAACTTAATTCCATGTTGTTTAAAATCACTAAGTGCCTCTTGTCATCATACTAAGAGCACTATAAAAGCTTTTTTAAACACCAGGTGTAAAACCCAACCTTCCCTTGTTAGTCAAAGTTAATAACTAGATATTTAATCTGAGATCACTAACAAGGAGGGGCCAGGAACATAAAAAGATAGGCTGCAGTATTAAACAGAATTTTCACAATGCAAACCACTGATCGTGATCGAGTTTGTTGATTTCAGCCAAAACAATCAGCATTTTACACTTGTCACTTTCTCGTTTGAATGAACCAAAGCAACTTTTGTTCTGCCTCCTGTAGAACTTGCTTTTATTAAAGGAATATCTTTTGATATAGACAGACAGTAAGCAGATAAAATTACAGCAGATAGAATATATCATGGGAGGGAAGCTGAAGTCATTCCTTCATACTCAAGGAATACAATTCGGCATATTCATAAAAGTGATCAGATGTTGTGGAAGAGCAATGGGAATAAGAAATAAGAAATTGCTGGAAAAACTCAGGTCTGGCAGCTTCTGTGGACAGAAAGCAGAGTTAACCTTTCAAGTCCAGTGACTCTTCTTCAGAAGGCTCTGAAAGTGCACAGTAAAATAAGATAGAGTCAGCGTAGAATTCTTTGAGGTGGTAATGAGCAAGTTAGACAAAGGAGAGCCAATGGACATGATTTACTTGGATTTCCAGAAGGCCTTTGACAAAGTGCTGCACGGGAGGCTTCTAAAATAAAGCAACAGCCCAGTGCTAGGGGCAAGGGTGACTGACAGAAGCAGGGACAGGTTGGGGCAGCATGGTGGCTCAGTAGTTAGAAACCACTGCCTCACAGCACCAGGAACCCGGGTTCAATTCCAGCCTCAGGTGACTGTCCATGTGCAGTCTGCATGGATTTCCTCCAGATGCTCCAGTTTCCTCCCACAGTCCAAAGATGTGCAGATTAGGTGACTGGCCATGCTAAATTGCCCATACTGTCCAGGGATGTGTAGGTGAGGTGGATTAGCCATGGGAAATGCAAGGTTAGGGTGAGTGGGGGGAGGTGGTGGTTGTGATGGTGGGTGAGAGTCTGGGTGGGAGTGTTGGTGTGGACTTGTTGGGCTGAACGGCCTATGAGGATTCTATGAGGAGATAAAGGGTTTCAGGATGGTAGCTAGTGACTAGTCGAGTTCCAAAGAGGTCCATTTTGGGACTATAAGTATTTATGTTATGAATTAATGATCTGGATGAAGAAATTGAGGGCATTGTTGCTAAGTTTGCAGATGACACAAAGATAGGTGGAGGGGCAGGTAGTGGTGAGGAAGTGGGGAGGCTGCAGAAGGACTTGGACATGCTAGACAAGTGGGCAAAGTGGCAGATGACATACAAGTGTGGCAAAGTGAGAGCTTATACATTTTCATAAGAAGAATAGACATGTAGACTATTTTCTAAGTGGGGAAAGGTTTTATAAATCTGAAGGGCAAAGGGACTTGGGAGTATTAGTTCAGAATTCTCTTAAGGTTAACATGCAGGTTCAGTTGGCGGTTGAAGGCAAATGCAACGTGCATTCATTTCAAGGCAGCTAGAAAATAAGAGCAGAGATGTACTGCTGAGGCTGTAGAAGGCTCTGATCAGACAGCAGTTGGCATACAGTGAGCAGTTTTAGGCCGTGATCTAAGGGAAAATGTTCTGGCGTTGGAGGGGTTCCACAAGAAGTTTCCAAGAATAAGCCTGGGATGAAAGGCTTGTCATATGAGGAGCGGTTGAGGACTCTAGGTCTGTACTCAGTTTAGAAGGATGTTGGGTTGGGAGGTGGGGGCAAGTGGTTCTGGTTCTGATTGAAACTGAGAATACGGAGCGATCCGGATGGAGAGAACATGAAGATACTAGGACCCAGGACATAGTCTCAGGTGAAGGAATGACCCTTTAGAACTGAGCTGAGGAATTTCTTCACAGATTGGTGACACAATGGAACTCATTGCCACAGAGGGTAGTGGAGTCTAGGTTGCTGCGTGTATTCGAGACAGAGATAGATAGATTCTTGGTTAGTGAGAGGATTAAGGGTTACAGGAAGAAGGCAGGAGAATGGCATCGAGAAACATCAGCCATGATCAAATGGCAAAGCGACTTGATGGGCTGAATTGCCTATTTCTGCTTCTATATCCAATGGTCTCATGATTTAATGGCAAAATATTTGAGACATTGACTGGCCTTCTCTTCCTATGCATCAGTGCTGGAGAGTCGCTAGTCGAGGAACTTGTAGCACTAGAGGACAAAAGAGAAAATTCCTCAAATAAATTGCTCAGCGATCATTAAATTCTGCATCACATGTTTGATCCAGGTTCTTTACTGCTAATTAACTCCAGCCTTGCACATGAATATGGATGGGCTCATTCAGCCCTCAAACTTGCTCTGTCATTTAATTTGAAGGCAGTACTCTGCTAAGTAGCTACTTTATTCCTAAAATAGGGAGTGAAGAGAAAAGCTTGTCCCACTGATTTCTGTTGGAGCGCAAATGCACAGATGGTAGGTGACAAATGAAAAAAAACTAGACTCTAATCAAATGGCCTGCCATGACAAAGACAGGCAAGATTCATAGTTGAAAGTACTAGATAGTAAACAGCACAAGTGGACTACTGAGGAAGAGAACAAACTGGGGAGGAAATTGAAGCAAGGTTAAAATATCTTCAGAAATTGAGTTAACCACAAAGATTTCTGTATTCAACTCTGCCATCAACTATCCAATTTATGCGTATTAGAATTTTAGGTAACTATGCAATTTGAGCATTTATAAATCATTATTTGTTCTGCTGTGAATGGAAGCTAAAAGTGAAACATTGGGCAAATGAATAAACTCAGTTTTACTGATTTCAATGCACAAAAAAGTTGAAGTAACAGCTGCCATCAAACAAGTAATTATGGAGCACGGTTCAGCCATACCTCATTACATATGGTAACAGATTCACAGCTGATAACTACAGCTGCTCAGTTTATCCAGAGACTTTTCTCAGAGGTAATTATGTCAGTAAACATACCTTTCTAACCTTTTGATTGGATGGAGGCTAACCAAACATGTGACTTAAC